AAAGCTCGGTCGTTCGATGGATGTGCTCAAGTTTTTGCTTGGGGCAGTCTGTAGATGTTATGCCATAAGGATCCTCAACTGCAGGATGCAGCAACTGAGCTGCCGGGCTATGCCTGCCTTTCGTCGAATCATCGGATCGGTGAGACGTGTGCAATGCAATACTACTACTACTACTACTACTACTACTACTAGCGGCAAACTGCTACGACTACGGCAACTGCTATTGCTACTGCTACTGCTGCTGCTACAACTACTCGTGCTATGGCTACGGCTGTTACAGGTACTACTGCTACTGATGCGCTAGGCTCCGGCTGCGGTTGTTGCTACCGCGACGACGAGGACTACTGCTACTAGTCCCACTCACGTTGTACTGTCGCTGGTTTCCCATTTGCTGTTTGTACTGTTATGTTGTCCATTGCTGCTGTCATTATGAATATCATCCGTGGCATTGTTTGTGCCACTTCTTTGGCGTTGGAAGCCTTGTTGCGAAGCAGCTTCGAGGCGGAGACGGGCTGCTTTTCCAAGGTGTAGCTGAGTCCCGTAGCGACCGCAATGACGGAGCGCGCCGAATTCAGTGTGGCGACCAAGACTCCTCGCAGCGTTCAGAGTGCAACGTCACTATTGGGCAACTGTCAATGGAAGTCTTCGACTTGGTGACTTGCTTGAATAGCTGTATGCTATGCCCTAATCTGGTGCCGCTTGCTCGAATTGTGAGCATGAGATTTAGCGTCGGCTCGAAGGGGTTCCACAGGATGGTTGCCCAACCTTGCATTGCTCAGGATAACCTGATCAGAAACAAGTGTTTGTCGTTTGCGCATGGTACGTTTGATAACGCTGCGTGAAAAGACTGAGTTCTTCAGTTTGGGTCATGTGCAACATGAGCTTGGGCCCAGGAACATTGAATTGAAAGCTGCACCAGTCTATGTCCTGAGAGTATCCCCACTGATGATTGACATCTTCGGAGATGAATCGGCGTCAGCAATGCAAAGATGCCTTGCAGCAGAGCATTTGAGATCGTGTGCCGAGCTTGGGCAGGTGCTGGATGGGTGGTGGAACCTAAACTCCACAAGGAAGAGGCAACTGACGAGGGTTCTGCAAGTCAGATACGAATCCTGTCCCTGGTCACCGTTCAACTGCCTGTTCATGCCTGTTCCATCTTGGCCGTCGCGAGTGATAGCAAAGTAAACGTTGCTGCAGTCGCCATGCCTGTTTCGCCAGAAGGGGCAGCGAGAACCACTCCAGGGTCATGTGATTGCTGCGTTCGCTAGCACCTGAAAGAGCACTAGACAGACCTTGACCTTGCGTCTCTTGCCTTGACTTCTCTAGAAAGCTCTGTGCTGAGCGCGTGGCCGCTCCACAAGTCACCTTGAGCGCCTTCGTATGGCCCGCTCAGATCTCCAAAGTATTTTGAATAACGAGAGAGTGCCCTAGCAGATCTGGACCTGGTCTCTTGCAAAATTTCCAACAGGCCTGGCGCAGAAACTGTTAAATTTGCATGGCGGAGGATGTGCGTCACTGCGACTTTCTGCAAGCCGCAAAGTGTCTGTGCATGCCTGGAGGCCAGCGCAAGTTGGTCCTTTCTACTTGGCTGCGTCCTGGCCGCGTTTGATTGAGCAGTCTGCGGAACTGTGTTTGTGTGCATTAGTGATGCATAGCAAAGGCTTGGTTGGCACAGCTCCAGGCGGAGGCCATGCCCTTGGTGTAGTTGGGCTCATGCATGTCATGGTTTCAAGATGTTGTGCCACTGTCGACCTCGAAAAATCAAAGAGCACCTGGAAGCCCAAGTCATAACAGCAACGCTGAGGCTCCCAAATGCCAGCAGGACGATTCTGAAACCTGTTCGAACGGCGGGGTTTCGAGACAACACCTGAGCCTCGTCGTGTGGGCCTGGGAGCGAGATTCATCAAGCTGGGAAGCGCCCAAGTGCTGGATTGCTGTATCTGCATGCCGAATCATGCCAACGCAGGTGACTGAATTTCAATATGTGTCATGTCCACATGCGCTTGGTTCTTGATCTTCGTTCAGCTCTGTGGCCTCATTCATCCTGGGTGGAGCAACTTGTGATATCTATGGCCTCGTCGCAGAAGCCCTCCCTCACCAGCTCCACCACCATCTCGATGAGCGTGTCCGCGCGCATGCACATGCGTGCGCACGAGCATCATGCTGAATGCTTAAGCTTGGGCAAAGGGACGACACAGTGCACGCAATCGCGCTGCTGATACGGTTTCGTATGTTGCCGTCTCTCCGGAAGAGTTCTTGCCATCGTGAATTTTGGGTGACTTGCAAGAGTCACGATAGCTAGAAAGCATGAGCCAGAACCGAACGGAATGCATTGATGCCAAGGGCTACACCATCTTTCTTGTCCTCGGTTCTTTCCCAGAGCCCACACAACCGCGACAGCCTCAATCCGTCAACTTGTAGCCTGTCCTGTTGTTTGAGTCAGCAGAGATGCATGGCCATAGTTCATACTGAGCATGTCGAAGGCTGTCTTTCGTGCAATTTCAGGATCGAGCAGGCTGCACGCTGGTTCTTGCACCCAGGTCCACAGATGACCAACACGGGATGGAGAGCCTCGGCAGAATGTGCGGCACCGACACTGCTAATGTTTCAAGGGCTTGTCGGTTCCTGCCGGAGCATAAGCTCGCTATACTGATCGATGACAAGGAGAGCGAGATTTGTTCAGTGTGTGGCTTGCGAAGGAACTTCCATTCCGTGACTGACCTGTTGGAGAAGGCAAACAAGTGCTTCAATCCAAGCAGGGGGCATCATCTTCCCGACTTAGAAGCTCAAAGGTAGAAGTTGCTGTCTTCCATTAATCGTCGAATCGGCATAGCCTGTCGAGGCAACTTTGCAGTTTAGCATGTTGAGTTCTCGGCTTCGGCTTACTCCGGCTTTCGCACAATCTCAGCAATTCCTCGCGTGTGAACACTCACGCCCATCTTCGCAGATTTCACCAGGTCAAAGGCTGCAACCGCAGGACACGGACAAAGGGACGACAGTGTACTAGTAAAGGATAGTAAAGGCAAATTCAGGTCCACTGCTCTTCATCCTCTCAGGGCATCGCCCAGAAGTTGCATTCTGACTAAGGTGAGTAAGGCCCATGAGTTGACCTGGGCTCGAAAGCGCTGGGGTGTCAGGCGAAGAGCTCTGGTGGAAATCCCGTCATGAACGAGCCCGACTCTGACGAGGAAGGCCGACTTTTCTCCGAAGATCCTGGTTGTCGTTTGCCATTGCTGCAACTGCCCTGCGACTGCAACGCGTTTTGGCCTTTGCCAGGTCTGGCTGACTTCGTGGAGCTCTCCGAGCCCATCTTGGAAACTCGCAGCCGGAACTAGCCTTAGCATGCCTTGTCTTTTGATGTCAGCATGCATGTGAGCATCTCCATCTACCCCGCAATTTTGACAGGGTCTCTTTGGCAGACGCCCGTGCTTCAATGCGTGAGATGGGCTTCGAGGCCACTGCTGATGCGACAGCAGCTGGCCACTTTCCATCTACTTGAGACGAAACTTCAAAGCATGACAACTGAGATGTAACTGTGAGCGGTGATGCTGCTTGTGAAGCTAAACTCTTCGTCGCAGACGCCGCAGATCAACATCGCCGCGGCCCTGATTCACAGAGTTGTGTCTGGGCAAAGCCCATCGTTATGTGTAGTCATGCGAAGTGTTGTGATTGTGCGCCAGTGGCCGAAGCTCAGAGGCCCTTCAGCTCGGTGCCAATGACGGTGAGGTGGCGTCAGAAGCCGAGGGGGCCTGTGTGGCTAAGAACTTGCCGGGGAGATGACGGAAAGCGCCTTGCGGCGTCTTGGAGTTGCCGGGCGAAGCCTAATAAAGGGGTTTGGGGGGGCGTGGGGGGGCTAAGTACGCAAGCAGGCGTTGGTTCCCATAAGCGGAGAACCGAAACGAAACTCGAAAAGTCGAAAAGCCGAAAAGTTTTGGACTTTTCGGATTTTCTTGCACTTTTCGAACTTTTTGGGCTTTTCGACTTTTCGGTTTTTCTAGCACTTTTCGGATTTTTTGGGCTTTTCGACTTTTCGACTTTTCGGGTTTTCTGGCTCTTTTTAGACTTTTTGGGCTTTTCGGCTTTTTGACTTTTCGACGTTTCGGGTTTCTTGGCACTTTTCGGACTTGTTGGGCTTTTCCACTTTTCGGGATTTCTGGCAATTTTCGGATTTTTTGGGCTTTCCGTCTTTTCGACTGTTCGGGTTTTCTTGTGCTTTTCAGCCTTTTTGGGCTTTTGGGCGTTTTGACGTTTCGACTTTTCGCGTTTTCTGGTACTTTTCGGACTGTTACGCTTTTCGACTTTTCTTGCACTTGTGAGACTTTACGTGTTTTTTCGACTTTTCGGGTTCGGCTGTTCGTTTCGGGTTTTTCGCGTTTTTGGACTTTTCGTCTATCTTCTTGCATTCTCAGTCAGTCGCAGTTTCAAGCGTCGTGGTTGTAGCTCGTTCGGGTCTTCCTGCTTTGGCCGATGGTGGGTTCTTCTCCTGCCCTAAGCCAGACGCACCACTAAGCAAAACAGCCGATCCGTGTCGCTGGGGCATTGACTGTCAAAGGGCGCATGTTGAGTCAGGCCTGCTGTGTGGCAGTCACAGTGTCATTGTAGCGCTTAGATCAAGCATGCCTACACTTGGCCTTCATCTAACGAAGTCGTTAAGCCGGGCGCACCACCAAGCAAAACAGCCGCTTCAGCGTTTGGCGATTGAAAGGGCGTTATATTCTTTCGCTAAGTTTTTAAAGAGTTTGGGGTTTGAAAAGAGCTCATGGGGTTTGTTCGTGTCAGTGACTTTGTGTAGCCCTCAAATGTCTTCAACGATAGGGATCGGAGGGCTTCCTAATGGTATTCCTCAAATCTCCTCGCACGATCATGCCCCGAAGCATGTTTCACATCGCTACGGCCCCTTGTGGTTTCTGCGAGGATTCGTACATTCAATTGGACAGTAGAAGCGAAGCAGTGAATGCTCCGCTCAAGATCTTTCGGCTACGAGCACATGGGACCCCGGGGCCTCGACTTTCTGGAGTTTCTTCTTGAGGGTTTGGGCTCTAACTTGTGGGGCTTTAGGTGTCCTGTCTATTGTCAACAGCCCGATTTCGCCCTCCTCATTCTGGTTTTCCTTCTCGGTGGACTTCTAGGAGCGGCGGCCACCCTGTGGATTTTGTCACGACTCCATCCATTTCAGGAAACCCAGCCTCGGCCCCGTGGTCCTTCCACTACTGCCTCGAGCCGCCGTCTCTCATTGTATGAGCAGTGAGGACGAGGTGACCCAGATTTCTTTGCAGTTTCAGGGTCTTACTATAAACGTCACCCGGTCGCGCATCCCGCCTGAGGCCTCTGCGCACATTGCCGCTTCCGGTGCGAGAGCCGGCCCTGCCTCACCTCCTTCGGGTTTAGGTAGCTACCCTAATCCCGGACCAGTGCATCTCCTGGCACCCCTGACTTGGGTTTAGGCCCCTTCCCTAGTCCCTTGCCTGCCGACAGGGCCTTTACCTCCTTACCTCGTTCAGGTTTAGGAGCTGTCCCTAATCCCGAACCCGTGTGCAGTGCATCTCCTTCACACCCCTTTTTGGGTACTAGTGGTTCCCCTGATCCCGAACCCGTGTGCACTGAGCTTGGACTTGGCTCTTCGACCCCCCTAAGTGCCGACTTGCCCAGCTCGCAAACTCCAGTACCCCTTGCAGGCCCTTGTGGCCCTGGCTTTTCCGAGCCCTCCGAGTCAGACTTTCCTCCTGTGCCGTCTGCTTGGCTTGCTGCCTCAAAGAGCCTTCGAGCTGCTGGGTTTTCAGGGGAAGATAGGGTAAAGCGTGCTTGGGTTGCAGGCTGTTGGGCCCGAGAGGTGCTTGCTGGTAGGGCTAAGACCCCTAAGCCTACTCCCCGCATCTCCCTTGCCAACCGCTTTTACGCTGTGGCTCGCTCCGCGAACGGCTCCCCTCCCGAGCTCTATCGGAGCCAGCACGACTATCTAGTTAGCAGGACTGTGCCTCGCTTTCGCAGGCTTTTCCATCTGAGTTGGAGTGCCGGGTCTACCTGGACGGGGCCGGCGTAATCAACTACCTGCCGGGGCCCTGAGCAGATGGACTTTGAGTCCATCGTTCCCGCGGAAGGGGGCACTGTTGAGCTCCTCCTCCTGGACCCTAGTGTTGACCCTTTGCTGGAGGAATGCTTGTCCTCCCCTTGTGCCTGCTACTGTGTGTTGAAGCGACCTGGCGGCCTGATGCTAGTCCTGCCTTCAGGTGCGATCGAAGAGAGCTTTTTCACCCTGGCCGATGCTGCCGAGGACCCGGGACTTTTGGGCCCTTCCACTTTTGCTACGTGCCGGGCCGTCGCCCTAACCGATGCCGGGGAATGGGTGGCAGCTGTGCCTCCTCAGCAGATCCCTGTTCGTATCGTGGACTTCGACTCGGGCGTGGCAGCCGGCCTTTCCCTCCTGGCAGCAGGTGCTCTGGGCTTTACGCCTTTCGTGCAAGCCGACCCCATGCTGTTTCCCTTGGCCGTCGAGGTTGCAGCTGCGGCCCATGCCTGGATACGCACTCGCCCTGGAAATCGAGGAGCCAACGGCTATGTAACGGCCGAGGAGGCTCCGGAGTTGGACGACAGGCCCGCTGCAGCCCTAGGCAGGCAGCCGAAGGGAAAGGGAGATGCCAAGATGAAAAGGCCTACTCTTGCTGGCCTCGCAGCTTCTCAGGCCACCTTGCAGGAGCTCGTTGTTTCTCTCGTCGAGCAGGTGCAGACTTTGACCGAGGCCCAGGCGAAGGTTCGTCCCGAGCTCCCGCCCGCATCCTTGAAAAAAGGCGGCTCCTCTTCCTACCGTGCCCGAGCCAGCCGGCCATGCCAGCCTAAGGGCGCCTCTGCACTCAATGTTGCCACCTGCCCCGGCCAGAGCAAAGAGACTGTCGGACATCCTGGGCCCTCCTCCTCCTGTCAGGGCTCATGCTTGGAACCTGGACGGCCCTGCTCAGGAAAATCCCGTGACCGAGCCGCTGCCTGGCATTACCGACGACGAGTTGAGAGGAGGGCCCTCCGAGCCCCTTGCACAGGCCATGCTTCTGCAGGCGAAGGCCCTGACAAGCCTCGTGGGTCAGCTTGCGGGCTCGACCGCCGACTCGCTCCTGGATCTGCCTGGGACTTCTGTGAGCACCTCCACGAAGGGCACAACGGGGAGGCTACGCATACAGGCGGAGCTCGCCCAGAGGGACGGCTCGTTCTTCGATCGTGTTTTCGCGGCCGTGGGCCGCGGGATGGACCCCACCTCAGTGCCCGGAAGCTCCGCTGCCCCGAGCGGGGGCTCCCCTCAAAACAGCATGGCAGCTTACTTGGAGCGCTTCGGCGGCTACCACAAGGACCGGACGATCGGCCTTGCTCAGTGGCAGTGCGCCCTGGCAATGGATTTGCTGGCAAAGGGGGAGACAAAGGGGGCCGGCGACACTCTGGCCATGCTCATGATCTTCTTCGAGCAGGCCACTCTAGATGGGAATCCCGACCTGGGGTGGCTACTGACCCACCTTGCCGACCCCCCGAACGGTGTCTTCCTGGACCGCACGGTTGCTCCCACGACTTCGCTCAGGCCGTTTTCCCCTCTGGCGGACCAGAGGCCAGCAGCAACGACCCTACCCTTTGTGAAAGAGCTGGAGGCCCTGAGCACTCGGAAGGGGGAGCTTGCGAAGCCGAAGCCCCCAAAGCCTCCGCCAAAGCTGCCGGATGCTGGCGCAAAGCAAGAGGAAGCAAGCCTGTCTCGAAAGCAGCTCCGCGCGCAGCTCTGGGCCGCCAAGAAGAGCAGCGCGACGACATGACAAGCCTTGCTTCTAAGCCGGTGCCCCCTGCAAGCGGCACCAAATCCCCGTGCAATCCTCCGGAATGTCCCGGTGCATCTTCCCTGCGTGCCGATGTCTTTTCGGAGAAATAGCCCTCCCGAGGCTGCTTTTGGCCGCCAAGACCTCCTTCAGCCGGCTGCTGAGGGTATCTTTTTCTATCACCTTCCGCGAGGGGGAGCCGCCTCCTCACACCGGCTTGTTCCCTCTCCCTGTGCCCACTGTTGGTGCTTTTGGGAAGGTTGACCTGAGGTACAACGACAGAGGTTTTCGTCGCAGCCGCGCGCGTGAAATGATGATTGATCGTGCCTTGCGCGTGGCCACCATGGCCCTCAACCACATCCACTGCGACGGCCGTGCTATCCCTGCCGCTGTTCTTCGGAGGCCGCCCTCGGCCGAGCAATGCAATGTCTTTGCCCGACTTAGGCTGCTTATCGAGGCGAGTGCCCGCCTCCCTGCTGAGTTCCCCTTAGCAGCGGGTCGGCGTGGCCCACACCTTCTTTCCCGGCTGGACGAACTTTGCACCTATTTAAAGCGGTGTGGCATTTCCCAGCAGGCGTACCATAGCACAGTTGTTCCCGAGGTGCCGGTGCCCCGTGAGATATCCGGCCCTCCTGCTCTTCAGCCCTACCGTGAGCCCTTGGCAGCCCGTCTTTTGATTACCGGCAGAGGCCACTGGGACATCACCCCTTTCCTGGGCCCTGAACTCCTGATGCCTTTCCGTGAGCCTAGGGTTCTGCATGGCATCCCCGAGAATGCCCTTGCCTACCCCGACACTTCCCGGGAGGATTGAGCAGAACTGCTACGAATCTTTGCCCTTTGGGATAGCCTAGGCCTCCTGGATATCCACCCGTGCCCGTCCCATCCCCGAGCACTGTGCCGCATTTTCGGTTCTTTTAAGAACCCGTTGCAGGACCGCATGATTGGAGACCGTCGTGGACCCAATTCGGTTGAGGGACGGGTGCGTGGTGTTTCTCACGAGTTGCCCCAGGGGAACTTACTCGCTCTCTACCATGTGAAGCCGGGCTGTGCTCTCTGCAGCGCGTCGACCGACAGGTCTGATTATTATCACCAGATTCGGGTGACGACCAGCCGGTCGGCCTCGAATGTCGTGGGCCCTCCCTTCAAGCTCTCTGAGCTGGGCCGCCTTGCTGCTCACGAAAACTTTCTTCGACGAGGTCTTGATGCCCTGGCCTCTGATAGGAATAGGGTTCTCGGGAGACTTGGCAACCAAGCCTTTGAGCACTTAGGCTCCGACCCGGTCGTCTGTGGCTCCTTCCGGTCACTTTTTCAGGGTGATCATGGAGGTGTGGAGTTTGCAACGCAGGCCCATGAGCAGTTGTTGTGCCGGGCCGGTCTGTTGGCCGATGACCATCGCCTTGCTGCGGGGCGACCTCCACCTCTTGGCCCCCATGCCGAAGCACTTGTGATTGATGATTATTTTTGCGTGTCACAGACCGCCGCTGCCCCTTTGCAGGCCCTTATAGTCACAGCGAGCTCGGCCGAGAGCTCCTTTCTACCCGAGCCTCCCGCTGCGTTGGCCAGGCCAAGGGTGCTTATGCCGAAGCAGAGCTTAGTGGCTCCGACCACAAAGACAACTGGGGCTCCCTGAACTTCACGGTTGCAGGTGCTGAGGTGAGGTCTGACCTCGACTTCGTGTCTCGCGGGGCCGTTTTTGTCGGGGCTCCGGCTGAGAAGCGGCTCGCTCTCGCATACATTTCGCTAAAAGCCGCCGCCCTACCTGCCGTTTCCGAGGAGTTTGTGTCTTCTGCACTGGGAGGTTGGGTATCCTATATACAGTTTCGGAGGCCCTTCTCCTGCATACCTGACCCCCTCTTCTCCCTCGCTTCGAAAGAAGCCTCCCCTGATGGGAGCCTTCTCCGTGCCCTGCCCAGGAGAGCTGCAGGCGAACTGTCGCTGTTGGCTGCCTGTGCTCCTGTCATGGCCTCGAATATCGCGGCGCCCTACCATGAGTATGTCTACTGCTCGGACGCGTCCCTTCGCCGAGGAGCCACCTGTCGTGCAAAGGTCGGGCCAGGTCGGGGAGGCCCTCTCCGAGGCCCTTTGGCAGGGCGCTCCTGTCTCCTTCAAAGGTGAGGTGCCTGTCTCTCAGAAGCCCCCGCCCAAGGTGCTCGAACTTCCGACCGGCCCCTCGGGATGGACTATGATTTCGTTGAGCTGCTGTCCCCATCGGCAAAAGTCTCCCAGGCTGTCGCTGGTTTGGGCCTCCGGCCGGGCCCCCCTGTCTCCCTTGCTGTCAGCCCTGAGTTCGATCTGGGTCGGCCGTGGGTCGACTGGCTGCTTTACCTAATCGCCCAAGGCCGGCTCCGTAGCCTCATGATCCAGTTCCCCGGCGGTTCCTTTAGCCGTGCCTTCCGGCCCGCAATGAGGAGCCTCGAGTGCCCCAGTGGCTCTGGCCCTCGCTGTGCCCGTGTCGCTCGTGAGAATCTGCTTGCTTCCCGGGCCCTGCTTCTGATGAGCTTCTGCCACCGTCTTGGGGTCCCCGCTCTGCTGTGCCTCCTCTTCTCCCTGCCTGCCTCGAAGAACTTTGCTGCTAAGCACGGTGCTTTCTTCTGTGCCCGTGGCTTCAAGTTGCTTTCCAGGCCTGGGTTCGGCTTTGCGTGCTTGGGCTGTTGGATTCAGCCTCTCCCCCCGGGCCTTGTGCATGGACTTGAGCCCCCAGAGAGCCTTGCCCTTCGTAGCTCGAGAAAAAGCTCCCCCTAAGCCTGGTCTCGAATCCGTGTTGGTGAACGACCTCCTCCAGACCTCTGCTTGGGAGGTTCTCTCTTCATGGAAGTGGGCCTCGAGGCGACATATCAATGCCCTTGAGAGTGACGCCACCCTGGCCCTCTACAAGAGAGCCGCTCTTTCGGGGGGGGACCGGCGCCTCGCTGTCATCACTGACTCCGCTGTTGTGCGAGGATGAAAGGAAGGTCTTCTGCAAAGCACATCCGGCAGCCTCTTCGTCAGGCGAGCCCACCCGCCTTAACCCCTCCGATGACCCCACCCGAGAGGTTAGGCTCAGAGACCCCGTTGGTGTTCAGGTCTCGGCTCAGCTCTCTCGCCACGAGCTACGGGACCTCAGCAGCCTTCAGGGCCTTTCGAAGCCGCGTGCAAATTGGGTTCGACTTGCCCTCCTCTTGCATACTGCCGCTTTTGGCTCTCCCACAGGCCTCGTCTCCGCCCTTCGTGCTTTCCCCACCGAGTCACGACATGGTGCTAGAGCCTGTGCTTCCTCCTCAAAACCTCGGTGCCAGATAGATTTCGATCAGACTTTGGGTTTTCCCGGCGAGGGGCCCCTCCCTCGACCCCATCCCTTCTGCCTCGGGGACGCTCTCCCCCCGAAACGCCGAAGACCTTCGTCGCCTTGACCGCCGTCTCCGTCCTCTCCCTCTCGGGCGTCCCGTCTTGTCTGGTACGTCGTCTAGGAGGGCTGTCTTGCTTAGTGCCTTCGCGCAATGGCTACGTGAAACCTCGGGCTGCATCCTGGACCAGCTGTTGGAGGCCAGGCCCTTCGAGACCGAACGCTTCGTCGACTGGTTGATCCTGTACGGCCGGGATTTATATGGCAGTGGCCGCCCTTACTGGCATTTTTCTGAGACGATAAACGCTTTGACGGCCCGGAAGCCTGTTTTACGACGAGCCTGCCAAGGAGCGTGGGACTTAGCCTTCACTTGGTTATCCGAGGAGCCCTCGACGCACCACGTTGCGCTCCCGGCCATCCTTTTATTGGTTATTCTGGCCTCCTGTTTGGCGTGGGGCTGGCTTGCTGAAGGAGCTTTGTTTGCCCTCTCCTGGGGCGCCTTGCTACGGGTCTCGGAAGCTACCGCCGCCACTCGCCGCCACCTTGTCTTTCCCGAGGACGCGCTGTTCATGCAGAGTTATATTCTTATAATTATTGACCAACCCAAGACACGTGGGCGCGCAGCGAAGCACCAGAGCTCCAAGCTCGAACAAGCAGACCTCGTTGAGCTCGTCTCCCTCGCCTTCGAGAAGTACAGCAAGACTTCCCGCCTGTGGCCCTTTACGAACCAGACCCTACGGCGAAGACTGGACTACGTGCTGTAGAGGCTGGGGATCCCAAGGTCGACTGAGCACCATCGCTCGGTCGACTTGGGGTCCTTCAGGCCGGGAGGTGCTGCGTTCTTGCTACAGGCTACAGAGGACTCTGAGCTGGTACGCCGACGCGGAAGATGGGCCAGCCACAAGGTTATGGAAATTTACCTACAAGAGGTGGCCTCGTCCACCTTTGTAGCGGACCTACCACCCGAAGCACGTGACAAGACCTTGGAGCTGGCCCGCCTTTTCCCGAGCATGCTCTCCCAGGCCGGCAGGTGGCAGCGAAGCAATATCCCCAGCAAGAGCTGGTTTTACCTTTGGCCATAGGCTTTACCGTGTGCTGCATAGCTGGGTCTGACGGGTCGATGGTGTTCCGGCCTTCTCTTTCCTTTGCTGTTGGCGAAGCTGTCCCGCCGAGCGGAGGCAC